TATCTCAGGGAACAGTGATTGGGGCACAAGGATTCTATCCTAAGAGCCCTTGCTCTAGTGGTTATGATAGCACCTGCCCGTTCAGCAGCACCGTTCTGCTCATGGATATATTCCGAGGAGTATTCGATCTCTAGGCCCAGCTCGATTACCCAGTCCTTAAAGATATCGGATTCTTTGATAGCTCTCTCATTGTCGATTCGTATGACCTTTGTTTCACAATCAAATTGGCGTTTAATCCACCTTAAAACCTTGTCGAAAGCTTTCCTTATATCAGATTTTCTCAAGGCTGTTACTGCGATATGGAAACGAAGATAATCACATACAAAATGTATGAGCCATCGTTCTCCGTTGTAGCAGTAGGAAGGTCCTTGTACAATATCTGCATGGAGTCGTTCGAAGGGTAGTTTAGATCGTATATGGGGACGGCGAGATATTTGATTCTTTGCTTTGGCAAGATGGCAAGGTTCGCAGAGTTCTTTGTCTTCAATATCAATGTTCTTTGCGATATCTTTGATATCTGATATCTGAACCCCTTTGGCATCGATTGGCAGATGTTCAACTGCTCTCATCGAGGGATGTCCTAAGCGTTGATGCCAAATCTTGGAGGAAGCAGTAGAGCTTTTTGAGGTGTATGAAGAGGTAGTTGATGATTTTGATATCTTAGTAGGTTCTGATTGGGATATTCTCGCAGGTTCTGCTGGTTTGCCAGATGGGGCAATATTAGTGAGCACTAAGGTGTTCTCACTAGTTCTGTGATATTCAGTAACCAGCAATCCGCCGTATACTTCTATGCGAGCAAAGATTGAATTATCGCTAATCCTTCGCAATCTGAATGTTTTGCCATCGAGGTAGATCCCCCCTATATGATAGCAGGGTTTCCAAGCGATCAGGTTGGTGTGAGAGAATGGAATGTACGCAGCATTTCTAAGGATCACTCTGAACTGCTTGCCGAGATTGTTGGTCATGTAGGTCCAAACAGTTCCATATCCCACAACCCTTGTTGTCGAATCTCCTGTATAAATCTGCTCTTCTGATGGTTCGTACGTTAGGAATCTAGATCTATTATTGCAGATATGTCGCTCAGCACCGGTATCGAATATCCAGGAATCTCGAAGATAGGGGCGTTGATTTGAAGGAGAGCTCTCGACGTTCACGTTTAGGCATCTTGTCGATCGATCGACAGGCATGATATCAGAAGTGATTGAAGATTGATCAGTAGGATGATCGATAGAATGATCAGTAGGTTCTCTGCTTGTCTTTAGAAGAACCATTCCTCCCAGTGTCGGTTCTATCATCTCAGTGTTAGAAGCAGCCACCTTGGTTATCGCTGCATCTATCTTCTTCTTGATATCTTCGTTCTTGAGTGCCTCATCCACCTTCTTACGTCGTTGCTCGTTCTCCTTCCATCCTTCAGGTCTCTGACTTGGGTTGAGATAATAACATTTGACCCAGGAATGCTTAGAACCACAAACGCAGGTTCTGGATCTTGATTGTCTTGCTTGCCTGCCATTAAAGGTAGCAAGGTTGGACACAAGCAGTCCTGGCTTGCTGTATCCCTTCTTGCGATATTCGGAACGGAAGTCGTTAACCACATCTGCGAAGGAGAAGTTCTCCTTACCTCCTATCTCAACTTCCCTCTTTCGAATGGCGGCGTACGGATTGTCGATAGTCATGTTGATATGGAAGAAGTCCTCCCATATATCAAAGTTGCCATCTATACCAGAGTGCTTGATTTCTGCTTCAATCAGAGTCCAGGCATCTAACCACTGATCTAGATTCTGTTTGGGCACCTTTTGCAAGTTCTGATTCTTCTTCCGTACCTCATACTGGCGGTCCGCTGTTCTAGGTGATAACCTCTTCTTAAGAGCAATTAGAAGATCCTTCATATCAATGTGACTATTTCCATTAGTTGCTATTTCTAGCTCACTAAATGCCACTGTTCTGAAGATCTCTTGTCTGATCTTGCTAACACCTGCAAGCTTTTCCTTGTAGATATTCCTATCATTGTTGTATCTGCTGTTCTCCATCTCCCATTTAACCCTTGCTTCCATGGTGTACTCAATAGGGAACTCTGGGGAAACAGGTTCAGGTATTTCACTCATCCTATTGGGACTTTCCTCACTAATAAGATCCAGTACTTGGAGCTCAGTGGCAAGACCTAGTATCATGTTGTACCATAGATTCCACTTCCTAGGAGAATCCAAGAAGAGTGAGGCTTTTGATGAGGAATTTTCTGCTGACATCTTGGTCGTTGTATATAGATATAAAACCGATATAGGATCGAATGGATAATCGATATAGAATCGAATGGATATAATCGGTATAGAATACGCCGCTATCTCTCGCCGATATGTAGGTCGATGAGGATCGGATAGATATAGAGATAGATATAGATATTGCCGCAATCGTCGCCGATAAGGAGGTCGGTGAGATAGGGTAGATAGATATAATCAAATAGATATCTTTGCCGATAAGGAG